TACCCAAGGGGATATGTGTCTAAGCTGACTTAATGCTTCCTGACATTTTCAAGAGAGGATTCTATGCTTTCGACAGACCAAAAAAACCATTGCTGCATTCCCAAGTCTTACAAAACTCCTCTTTAAGGAAACATTCTCAAAACAGATAGAAAAGGGAAAGGGCAACAGACGGCTCTTTGCAGCTGTTCCTGAACTAACCAAGGAAAGTCTGGGGGAATTTGGAGATCAGAAGATGCCAAACACCCTTACACATTACTAGCCTGGTACAGGCATCTATAAATAGTGAGCACATTTTTTTCCCCTTGCACAAAGTAACTCAAAAAGAAAACAATTTTTAGGTATGCCATGAAGTCATCTGCCTCTGCCAACTAAGAGTTTAAGGTATCCCAAGAATTATCTTCAAAGCCCAGCCATCATAAGGGATAGCAATCAGCACAGTCATGGGACACCCTTCCCCAACCTGGTGCCTTTTTCATGTAGTGGACGGTAACTCTCATGACCTGCAACTACCATCCACTGGGGATCATGGGGGTTGTGGTCTAAAACTTCACAAGGGTTCCAGGTTGGGGAAGGCTGGGCAATAGTCGACAGGGAAACATAAAGCAAAGAGACTGAAATATTTCCCAGGAAAACAGTAATAGGATCTGCTTCCTAATAACATTGAATTCATCAGTGAGAAGCATACCGAATCAGAACTGGAGAGGATGAAAATACCATTTTGCTTCAGACATTACATAAGATTTAAAGGTTACCCTTGGAACAGCTGGTGTTCAAAATACCACTTTGTGAAACATAACATTGTCCAGTACTTAAACGAAGAAGAGAATATTGGATGCAGGGTTTGTCTCTGGGCCAGCACTGGATTCCAGCAATAAATGCCCCATTAGTGGGCAATTTGATGTGCTGGTCAGTAATCAGGAGCTTATCATCACAAGATGGGCACTTCTGGAAGGAAGACCGGGACACAATAGGCATAACACCAGTTGGACAAATGGGGGGATTATTTATGGTGGTCAACGGAGGTTGCTTGCAAATCTGAGCAGCGACATATGGCAGCTAGATTTGTTTGCTGCACAAAGTGCTCTAATGAACTCTCGGGCCTGAAGAGGTCCCCGCAAACCTTGATCCTCGGTAAACCCAGGAGAGCAGCAAACAGGGAGAGCAGATGCATACAACTCTGTGCCTGGACTTTGGTTCCATGCGTAAATATTGCCCCTGGTTTGAACACTTCTTATGGTTTGAAGCTAAGTGCCATTCTTTTTGCCCTCCCTCCACAACTGGCTTTTAAAAGGGATGGGAATGTGGCACTCTATACATCCAAGGACCATTAACCAATAGCGTAGAAGACACAGTCTAATTGCTCAGCTTCCCGTTATTCACTCAGGTACTCTTCAAGCATGAGAGTAATGCCCATGTGTTGTTACGCAGGATTCAATGGGATTCAGAATCACAGTTGCTTTTTTACACTCGAGCCTGGTTTAGTAAAAGCACTTTTGTACACTCGAGACTGGCTCAGCACAAAAGGCAAAGCAAAACCAAGAAAAACACCTTATTCCAGCACCTTGCAGAAAAGTGGCGCTGCACCACAGGCCACATCCAGCCCTGAGGAGCTCCCCTTCTCTTGTTGGAACCCCCAGCCCTGATCGTTGGCTGAACTTTGTGCAGGTTTTGAAAGGGTTGCAATACCTCTCCTAAGTCCTAGGGCACAATCCCATCAGCTGCACCCATGTTAGAAGTCCTAGGTTCCAACGGGCTCATCAGCCTGACTCGTCAGGGCACACCAGAAGGAGGGAAAGAGGCTTGGGATCACCCGTATCCTGACCTTCCCAGGCTCCTCATGCCCATGCCAACCGGGACATTCCTTAGCCAGGCCCAGCACACTGCCTGAAGGTCCGGTCCTCGCAGCAGCCAGCCTCTTCAGCTGCTGCTCCCCGTTTTCTCCATGCTGCCACCTTAGAGGCCAGCCAGCACATTTCTCTCCACACAGGCTACAAGGGGGCAGGCAGCTCTCCAGATCCCCCTCCCAAGGCTGATTCCAGCCTGTCTCCAGCCTTGGAAGGCTCCTTTCAAGCTAACCTGTGGTCTCTGGGATGCTGCCCAGGGATTGCCGGCTGGCTCTCTGAGAGCTCTGAGCTGGTATTTTGGTCACTGCGCCCTTTGCCCTCATGTACCTCTGCAGTGTGCCCTTTCACAGAGTCTCTGGAACTGAATTTGGTGCTCAGGCTGAAAGAAGGACAACACCCTGTGATCATTCATGGTGCAGGGAAAGGCTGTGGCTCTGCGGAGGACCCATACTTGGCTGGCAAGAGGTTCTAGGTCAGTTCCCGGCATTTCCAGGTACGGTTGGGAAGACCTGCCTGAAATCTTCGAAACCAGGGGGATCTATGCTGGTCCATACATCAAGGCTATGCAGATGGATTTAGATCTCTGGATGACTGGCAGTAAGTGGACCGTGAATGATCACTCATGGTCCACTGTTGAACAAAAGCAGCAGCAAGATGACTTCTTCTCAAAGTGATACTGCTGAAATGGAGATTGCTCGGACTAGCAGTGGATTTGTGTGTGGAAACAAGTCTGTGAGCTCAGTTTTGGTGCTAAAAACAGATCCCTGGGTTCAGGATGTCACAGTGTTATGTGCATGTCTTCTGTACCAGGCTCCAAGCAAAAGAGCCGAGACCTAAAACCTGCCCACCCCTGTTGTAGACTGTTGACAACACTGGTTGGCCAAGGTAGGACTTGTCCAACAGATGGGCTGCCTCAATCTAAGACAGTTTCCTTTGTTCTAGCCACTAGGACCCACAGCTATTTAAAATAGGGCTCGAAGTCATGCAGTGGTGTCATTAGAGCATTCTAACCTCTGGAGCTAATGATCCGGAGTAGTGGTGGTGTCGTTTTTAGACGTAGTGTGTATTATTTCCCTGACTCCAAGAAGCGATAAGCTGGCTTTGCTGCATTTGGAGAGCGGAGTACTCATTCTGCCAAGCCGCTCTCAGGATGTTTGCCAGAAAGTCTCATCCTCACTGCAGCCATTCGTGGTCATTTGCATGCCTTTTGTGCAAACAGGTACAAACTCCTACATTTTAGTCACATCTGAGCTTCTCTGTAACCTTCTGCATGGGAAATGCCATTCTTTTCATCCCCCAACAAAAACACAGGGGTAAGGTTGCTGGCATAGGAGATCTCAAAAAAGTTTAAATAAGGGATAACTAGACCGACAGGCCTGTGTTTAACTTGTGGAAGTATGTAACTCTCTTCTCTGGAAAGCATCGGTCAGGGGGAAACAGCACCAGCCGTAGCAACATTGCAATATACTTTGTTTTACTGAGGGAAACTCCCAGCTGAAAAATCACTGAAGGAAAGAAGGAAGGAAGGAGTCAGTGTGAGAGAAGCACATTTGCTACATCAGTGATCTGTCTGACAAAGTTCAGGAGAGCCCCAGAATGAGTAGCCATGCACAGACAAGGGTCTTGGTTTTCCAGTTACGTCCAGAAAATAGGACCCCCTCAAACAAAACTAAGGCAGATGAACAGAAAGGGTGAGCAATGGGAGGAAACTCTATTTTTTAACCTATATAGTCTTATGTATGTGTGTGTGTGGTTGCCTTATGATGGGTCTCATATTGATTCAGAATGAAGGTTGCCATCTGCTGGATCGCTGCAGCTATTTCTAGCTACACTAACAACTTCTTATCTCAAGTACTTTTCAGGACCAGCCTGCAATAAATGGGATTTACAAGGCCATGGCTTCTGCCTCTTCTCTTTCTCATGCACATACATCTTATTACCTTTTCCTTCCAATGGTCTGTGGATAAGGTATTCCTAACTTCCATGCACATTCACAGGCATTAAAATATAGCCAACCCTCTCTATGGAGCTGCAACACTATGGAACTGAGGAAAGAGTTCTTACTCATAGCTCCCAAACTTCATGTAAGCCCGGGATGTTCCAACCAACACTGTGGAGTTCCGTGCTTCGGATGGAGGGTCTTCTGTAGGATGGATTCCTCCACTGCTTGGGGACAAACTAACCTCGATTAGAGGGTACAGGGGGCAATGAATTCAGAGGCTCAGGGCTGGCAAGGGAACTCGATGTAGCCCTTCTGTGCCATGCTGCAGCCCTGAGGAGGATTCCTCCCATGAGGCTGATATCTGCACAGCCGGGCAAGACAGGGCAGCCCTCCTGCCCCCAGGGCTACGCTGAGCCTGTTCATTCTCTGTCCCCACCCCCACCCCCACCCCCACCGATGTAATTCCCATTCCTTTAAGATGGGAATGTCAAATGCAGACACATATTTCACATACTTTATTGCCACATCTGGACTGGCCCACAGGATAACCAAAGATGAAGAAGAACGATCATTCTTTGGCTGGTTTCTACCTGCCAAGATCGGTACAGACTGGCTATTGGGGAAGGAAGAATTTGGTCTCCATTATTCAAGCTGAAACACACAAACTACACCACAACAGAGAAACACATCTATATTTCCTGGATTAATTTGCAGATCGGGAGACAGTTCTCCTTCAACTGTGCCCTAATCTGGATTTTGCCATTTCTTTTCATTTCATTTCTATACTATCCAGTAGCCGAAGCTCTCTGGGCAGCTCACTGCAATGTCATTCCTAGCTCAAAAGTTGCAAACAAAAATGCATATATTGTGGAAAGATACATTGAAAGACGCATAGTGGGAAAAGATGCATGCAAAATGCAGAATTTTATGCAGTTTTTAAAGGGAATGTTGCAGAAATTAGAAATCAGATCAGTATCATGATTTAGAAATTAGAAATCAGATCAGTATCATGATTTAGAAATTAGAAATCAGATCTGTGAAACAGACCAGATATGTGCTGATCAGTTTTTATCCCTACCCCTGAACTCCTGCTTTGCATCTCGTTCTGGGTGGTGGCCTTGGAATTCTAGTAAAAATAAGGCAATCCCATGACCCCATTTCTGTTTTAGGGGCACTTTCCTGGCTGCCGCCCACGCAAATTCCTTTTGGCAAACCTGGGGCACAGCTCGGCTTTGGCCCATCCTGGCTCCAGATCTGTTCCCCAGAAACCATTGTCCATTGATGCCAATGGGAGGTTTCCCATTAAGCTTAATTGCACTGGACAGGAACAATTTCCTCCTGCAGGAGAAAAAGAGAAATAAGGGTGGATGGGACACGAGAGATTGCAAATGAGCCATCTTTGAAGAGGCACCCTCAGTTTGGAATGATTTGAGGTGGAACACAAAATAACCTGCTTCATTTGAAATAAATTAGAAAAGAAATTGAGTGGCTGTCTCTGCCTTCTGTGTAATGTAAATAAATCCTAGCCATTATTTCAAAATTTGCATATATAAATTAACATATGCAAATTTAATACAGAGCTTTGCCCTCTGTGCCTGGGCCCTGAATCTTGGGCATGCTTAGCTGGGTAACTGAGGCAAATGATGGCATCTTAAGAAACATCCTGCTCCAGGCATAACCTGTGAAGAGCGAAGGCAATGCAGGAAGGGGACTCTTTGGTGGATGCTCTCCTGGACTTTCAACCTAGTCATTGCCCTTGCACAGGCAACTGATACTTTTCCCTGACAACATTGGCACCGTTTCTGGAGAGGCAGCCTCCAGCCCGCTGCATGCGCTGGCACGAGTGCAAGGCGAAATAAAGCGAAGCAGCCCCATTTGCTTGCCTGATGAGGGCGAAGATGAAAGAGAGGACATTTTTCCAGCACATATCAGTATCAGCTTCCCCTTGACATTTAATATGACCAGCCTGGAAAGCTGGGCCCAACTTTCCATTGTGTGAGTAAGAACAGAAGGCAGCTGCTGCTCCAGTGCCTGAAAGTCCGGGAGCTGGGAAGCCTGTGCTCGAGCTCCCGTTCTGATCTGAGCCAAACCTGCTCCCGACATCTGCCCTCAGCATACCATTATTCTGCAGTTATCGGGCACCTCTGCAGCAGCAGATGGACCAAATTGTGCACTTAAAGGCTTTGGTGACTAATATGCTCATACTCTGCCATAACAATTTGTATTAAATATTTAATTCAGTGAGATGTCCGGTTCTTAATGCTAATCCATCCATTTTACCTGACCCAAAGTCAGAATTCAGCTTGCTTCATAAGTCATGGTTTTAGCACTTAAGGAAGGGCAAAAGGATGCTTTTACTGGCAAAGGAGGAAGTTCGCTTTCTTACACAGAGAAGTAGCATCTGGCAGCCACCGTATCATCAATAATGAACGTACAGAGAAAAGGAGCTTGACAGCCAGGAACTGAGCGATCTCTCCCTTGTCTTCTGTGGCAGATTCATCAAGCTGTTGCCCTCACTTCTTTCAAGTCCTGTTTGCAGCAGGCAGTGCTCAAAAATGATTTCTTGTGAAATCAGCAAAGTTTGCATTTACCTGGCTCTGAATCTAACCTCGGACAGCTCATACTGTGTAGCTGCTTGACAAATACAGCATTTAGCAAAGCAAGCAAACCTCCCCTTTTGCCGTACATCAGAACCCAAGTCAGGGTGCCTTTCTTCACCATCAGTGCATCTGCAGATACCAGGGAGCCTGAGAAATGTCATTTTCACAGGCTGTCTGAATCCTTAGCACCCTGGAGAAACTATTGAGTCCTAGAGTTTCATGTGCCCAGGACTCTGATGAGCATTCAGACTTGGTTGTGTTTCCAATGACTTTGGGTTCATAATCAGTCCAAATTTGGATTATTAACTGCAGGGGTGGGTAGGGGGGGTCAGAGATGGGCTTTGCAAATTGAACCAGTTCCCATCAACAGTAACACTCACATTCTAGCAAGACAGGAGATCAGGTGCAAGTCAGTCTTATCTTTTCATCAAGTGACTGCCTGACCCAGGAGGAAAAGTGCTGCAGAACATTATTCTAGATGAGTTTCTTCTTTGAAAACCAGCATGTTCCCTTGAGTTGCAGTGCTCTTGTCGCTCTTGGTCAATTGCCTTGGTGATTTTCTCTGGAGACATACTGAGGACCATGTGTCATGGTTTAGCTGTTATGATCTACTGTCCTAGACGGGCAGGTCACTGGCACTCCCATCATAGGAACACAGGACATGCCTTTATGCCAGGTGGCTCCAACCAACTCAGTACTGCCCAGTGTATTAACTGCAGCAGCTCTCAGAGTCATACTGTGAAATGCCAGGAATTAAACATGGAAGTGCTTGCATGCAAAGCATGTTCTCCAACCACTGAACTAAGCCCTTCCCTGTCATATCAGAAAGTGTTGGTTCAGGACCAGCAGTAATCTATATGCAAACTGGGGAAAGTGTACATGTGAATCTGGTCTTATTGGAGTACAATTTACATGAACACCTTCTGTCCTCTGCTAATACCTTTCTCAGATATTGCTACTAGGGTGGCCACATGTCCTGCTTTGCAGAAGACAGTCCTTGATTTGCAAGCACCCTCCATCGGACCAGCTGTCCAATTCAAGTCTGGATGCAAATATAAGAGCCCCATGAAGGAGAGCAGGGACCCCCCAAGGTATCAATCAACAGTAAACTCCCAGACAAAAGGCTGAACAGGTTACCTGGTCACAGTCTTCCCTGTCCCTGGTGAGATGTACTATGTTTCTATTTAAAGTACAGGAATAATTCTAAAACTTGTTCGTATACATATAAATTAGTACCTGCAAACTTTGTGTCAATACAGGCCCTGTTTTGTGCTATTTATTTACTGGTGATGCTTACATTTCCTCTGTTTAGATATTTGTAAGTGGCCACCTTAATTGATCTTCCCTATAAATGAGGCGCCTGGCTCAGGAGTATCTCCCCAAAAACACATTTCCCCCACAAAAAGGACCTTTGCTATGATGCCAGTGTTTAAGAGGGAAATAATAGTATTGTGCTACCCTTAAAGCCTGCCTAGAGATAAGTTTTAGCTGAATAGATAGAGTAGCTGAATATTTAGGTGGGCAGAAAATCAAGTTTTTCCCATCACAAGAGTTTGTCATATTTTTAACAGCTGTAGGAAAGGGAAAACTGTATTAGGTGTGATTTCTTTTCCACCGCTTTTAACACATCTCAGGGTACACAAGAGAGACCTCCTTGTATGTACCAAATTGCTACGGCCCTCAAATATTCATAGCATCTATTTTTAAATGGAGGTGTCTGGAAGGCCAGAGTAAAATGACTGAGTGCTGCTTCCTGCGCACAAAGTGCACTGGAAGATGCAGCATCTCAGCTGAAGGCTCTCAGGTGGCAGATACTGATGAGACATTCCTGAGATCGGCCCTTCTAAGAGGATTAGGCAAATTCATCGAGGAGGATGCCAGCAGTGGTGCCTAGGCATGATGCCTCTCCTATCTCCTCCGGTATCAGAGGCAGTGGGGCTTGTATGCCCGTTGCTGGGAAACACAAGTGGAGGGTGCAGTTGCTCTCATGTTCTATTTGTGGCACCTGGTTGGCCACGGTGGAAACAGAATGCCGGAGCAGACAGGCCTCTGGTTCAGCAGGGCTCTTAAGTCCTCGCCCCAGGGAGTCGCTACCCATTAATTAGATAATATCAGCCTAGATGAACCAATGGGATGACTTGATGTGAAGCAGTTTTGAGTGTTCATATGTAACTCCCCCAAAACGTTACCAGAAGTCTGGCAATTTTCTTAAACCTTTCAGCTCTAAAGTCCAGCTGTCAAGTTTACCCAGAGGAGAGGAGAGGAGAGGAGAGAGGGGACAGCATGGCAGAGCATTATTTGGAGTTACCAATGCAATGCTTTTCATAGTGGAATGAGAAAACTAATTACCAAAATGTGGCGAGCTGGTGAGAGGGGAAAGAAGCAACTCGATCTTGTAAAGAGGAGGAAGAAGGCCTGATTCAGGATGCTGGAGTGGAAGCCTCAGAAGAACTCTGAGATCTGTGTATGCTGTATCCTGCAATTTTGCAGGCTACTGTTCCTAATGTCCTGCTTGACTGGTTTCCCCAACTCAGCTGGGCATGTTCCTCTGCCCTGAAGTTAGCATGGGAAAGTTCAGCTGTTAGCCCTGCAGGCTTCCTCGTGGATGATAAGGCAACCTGCTTCCAAAGGCCTGCAAGGAAGGAGCAGCAGAAGCATCTAGCTGTTGCAAAATTACTGGAAGCTCGGAGAAGCCCTGGCTGATCTACTTCGAATCACCCAGAGTCCAGATAGCTCCCAGTCTGCCTTCTATTCTAACACTATAGTTGTGCCAGGAAATGCCTGAAACAGAAGTTATGCTTTTTGGATTTGTGAATCAAAACCATGCAGATGTTAACTTCTAGCTAATTACATTGAAAACTGCTTCCCAAAGAGGTTAGTTCAATAGTCATATTCTTAGCTTTAATTAATCAGCCTACGTACAACACTAGTTTGAAAGTTAAAATATACTTTTATTTCTAGATGGTATTCCCACATGTTAGCATGATTATCGTCTTAGAAAAGACATTCCCCTTTCTCTCTTATCTAGAAGGGAAAGCTCCTTCAAAGATAGACACTGAAAATGATGAGAATGTTTTGCATCTTAAAAGTATTTTTTAAAAGATGCATTGCCCAATCAAAGGCATCATTTTTGGTGGAAAGGGAAGTTTCAAAACTGATTACTCTAACCAGGCAATTGTTTAAACATCCTATGTCTAATTATCTCTCACTGAATTTACATGTGTTATGTTTCTTAGATTGGGTTATTTGTCTATTTCTATTAGATTTTTTTTAAAAAATCAAGCTTACTAAAATGCACACCTCTAAAAGACTTTTGACTTAACATAATTTGCTAGCTTATGATTTTGTGCTTTTTTCAGTTACACTTGCAAAGGCTTAAAAATTACTTCATACATTTTTCTTTGGAACTTGATGCAAGTCACCAGTCCAGCATTCCCTTTGCCCAGTTGCAAATACTCTTAAAAAGCAACATCACTAGAGGATGCCCATGCTTGCTGGGGATGATGGGGCTATAGACTAACACATAAGGCAGAGAACCAGGTTGGCGATGTCTGTCCTTGGCGCTGAGTGGAAACCTGAACCATCTGTGGGTCAGAGGGAATATGCTGCAGGAGTGCTGACAGTATATTGATTTGATATACTGTATTTGCTGTACTGTAGGCATGGCTAACACATGATCCATGGGCCATGGGAGACCAGCCATGACCATTGGCACAGCCCAACCCTGATACTCCTGGTAGCCCCATGATTCTGCTGTGAAGGCATGTGGGGACCATACCTTACTTTCCAGTCAAATACAGAGGCAGGTTGACAGGATGCTAGAAGCCAAATGCTGCTGGGAAGCAGGGTTGATGCTCCCAGCAGAACCATGAGGATCTGGCAGGGCAGCCACTTCTGACCACTGTGGTGATAGAGAGGGATACAGGAACCCCACGAGTCCAGTGTGGCCCATGTGGGCCCCAGTCCTCACCTGTGAGACAGAATAGTTCAACAGCACTGTAGAGAAGGGGCCCATCTCTCACACAGCGCCATCTGCTCACATAGATTCATCTGGTTCTGGAGAGGAGGCAGGTGGGCAAAAGCAGGCAGAGGACTTGGCAGTCTTGAGGTTCCCAGTTCTCAGGCAGAGCAGGAGAACCAGCCCAGTGTGGAAAAGGAAGGAGACTTTCCAGAGCTGGGTGTGGAGCAGATGTAGGGGGCATTCCTTGACCCAGTGAGGAGATGGCAGGTGAAGTGACCAGACCAGTTACGACCAGGCACTCCCACCGTCTCGCCCTCAAACAACAGAAGGCACCCCAAGTGGGGGGAGCCAGGATCTTTCTGAAAGGTTGGGGAGTGGGAGGGAACATTTCCAGTGTGGGTTCAACTCCTCTCATGGGCAGATGCCTCTCCCACATCTCAATGAGAACTTTGATTTATATTCTTCTGTTGCCTGTCATCAAGTCTGAATCAACGAGCGGAGCTTCTAAAGTTTGTCTGAGCCTGCTAGAAAGGGCGGGCAGGTGGCCTGCTCACAACAAGCCTGCCTTTTATTGCTTATCAGGTGAAAAACAGTTCGTGCTTTCAGGAAAACCAGTCTGCCCATTTTCAAGGGATATCATGATGCAGGGATTCCTTGCTCGAACCACTTCGGAATCTTTATCTCAGTTCCAAAAATGCATCCTCCTGATTCCACAAGCCTGTGCAATTGGCTTTGGAGAAGGACAGAAAAAAGTCTTAACTGAAGTGCCAAGAACAAGCCCTGGACAAGAAGAATCAGACAGCCTAGTGCATCAACACTAGACAAGGTGGCATCTTAAAAACCAACCAATTTCCTATGGCATAAACTTCCATGGGAAATTTGAATGCATACCAAAGTTATTAGAAGTTAACTACAAAATGTAAAATATGAAAAGGAAAGCACACCATATTAGAACCATCAACTAAAATATTCTTGAAAAATGGCATGTCTCCAAAAAAGGCCAAAAGTACACTTTTTTTCACCAGGAGGGAAAGTGCATACTTGGGAAAAATATGCCCAGAAATTGTTGTGAGCACATCTTTCCCCTTTTCCCTCTCCAGAAGAGGCAAAAGGCTTCTAAAATACAGTCTTTTATTGAGCTAGGCTGGCTTTGCAATACAGAGTGAGCAATAATAAAGTTGCTTACAAGTAACATCTATCCAAGTAGTGATCCTTCTAACTGGTGAGCAAGCTAATCTGCCTCTTCTCTTCTCCTTCAAAGGCAGCTGACTCCACCCTCAGGGAGGTCTACGCTGTTTGTGGGCAGGACTGTGGAAATGCTAGGCATTACTAAACTGGCCCCCTTGCTTGGCTGGATGACCAACCATTTGGTTGAAGAAGTCACACTCCGCCCTCTCTGACCCTCCGTGGCCTACAGTCCTTCCCCCCCTGGTTTCCCCCAGATGCTTGGCTTATCTCACTCATTAATCCTGGCATTTCAGTAAACCTTCAGTAAACCTTCAGAGTCTGAGCTTCCTACCTTGGGATGTTGTGTTTTGAGAGAAGTGGGCCCAATCCCAAGAAATGCACCATTTTTCCATTCAGAAAAGCCAAACATTGGATTGAAAATGGAAGCAAGCCAAAATGGGCTTTGACGAGATTTTGAGGGGATTTAGGGAAGCTCAGAAATGGCCCTTTTCCCATCCCTGGCCCTGAGCAGGACTGATCAGGGTTCCAGCTTCTGAAACCTCTGAAAGCCACCAGGAGTGGGAAGCCCCCTTGAGATCGCAGGTTGGGAAAGGCTGGGACCGAGGAGGCCAGGCCAGCTCATGTAGGAAGCTGGGAAGGAGTCCTACAAACGTGGCCCCGTGCCTCCTAGCTGCCCTGTTTGCCCTGTCCAGGATTAACGCCTGAACAGGGCTCTTGTTACGAACAGTTCTGGATATCAAAACATTTCCCCGTAACAGCATCACTGTACAAGATTTTTGTGTCAACAGAAGGGATAGCCCACGCCTGTTATTTTCCAATTCACTTATATTTCTTTAAAAAAAAATAAGAAAAGAAAGAACCCACAAGGGGATAAACCCACAGTTCCACCCCATATTTGAAACCCAAACTGACTCTCCCGACCCTTGTCGGAGACAGCTGCCTTCCTCCGCATTCCAGCCAAAAATAATAACAGAAGAGCACAGTTTGGAGGAGAGTTAATCTAATCTTCATTGCTTCAGTTTTAAAATATCCTGCTTGGTTTAGGGTTTCTTGTTACACTGAGGGATGTGTTTTTAGTAAGATAGGTCTTTGCATAAAGGTCCTTCATGGAAGTCTCATGTAACCAGAAACCAAGGAAAGCTAGCCCAGCCAGCGTGTGTGTGTGCGCGCGCGCGCACGCGCGCACACACACACACACACACACGAGTTATCTTCACAAGACAACACTTTGCAAGCAAACTCTGCTGAAGACAAACTTGCGACAGCAGTAATTATGTTAATGCCACTGCATTTTTATTAATCTATTTATAAATTGTGTTTCATTGCAGAAACCTGTGAAACGGGTTTATGCTCCCTCGTTTTCCTGCAGAAACTTTTACTTCTGAAATTTTTATACAGCTATCTACATACCTATGTAATTACTTTTTTCTTTCCTTTTTATTTTTTAAGAGACACTGTTGCTCTTGCATTTTAAGGCTTCAAGCAAAGATTTTCTACTTGCTGTTCTGTTATGGAATTTTTACTCTTTGGAGAAAGGGCTTAGGTGATATTTCTTGTTAACACCGTCACCACCACCTAATGATGTTAAATGTATTATTGTTCACCCCCAAACTGTGCAAAGGATAAGAAAGAGGATCTAGCATAGTTTATTAATAATGTTAACCCCACTGCTCTGACTTTAAAATATTGCTATCTTGTTCCAGCAAGAAAAGAAGCAGGAAAAATTAGAAATCCAGCAGGGTGAGGGAAACAGTATTTTTCCATGGTACATGAGAAATGTTTAGACATTTTGGGCCCCGAGATTTACCTGAACAGCTGGCAAAGTCTCTCTCTCTCTCCCTCTCCCCCCCACGTACATGTGTGTGTGTGTGTGTGTGATTTTTTAACAAGTTGGTCATCTGCTGCTCATCAGTGAGATCTGCCACTTTTTTATGAGGGTTGTCATTATGTTTTGACTCACAATGTCTCTGACAATGCTCCCAGAAGGCGCGTCACTTCCAAAGCGTCGGCAGGGGCACCTGGTAGTTGACCAGCATGCTGACCTGGGGCTCAGTAGTCACGAAGAGCAGTGGTCAAATTCAGAAATGTAAGAATGCGCATGCATGTGTACACCACACCACAAGCACGTGCACACTCCCTCGAAGGAGTCCCGTTCAGGGCCCCAGAGAAATGTGCAAAAACCCTGTGCTAGTTTTGTGACCTGAAAGTCACAAGGAGAAGGGCCTTTTCAGCGGTGGTGCCCTGACTGTGGAATACGCTCTCCAGGGAGGTTCACCTGGTGCCGTCGCTCTATTCTTTTCAGCATCGGGCAAAGACCTTTTTATTTCTCCGGTTTTTTAACGATTAACTGGTTTTATCCTGTTTTTATCACTATTTTTAGATGCAGTATGCTGTGCGTTGTTGTTGTTGATGTTGTTGTGTTTTTTATTCCTTTTTTCCTTTGTAAGCCATCCAGAGACTTTTTTTTGTAATGGGATGGCATAGGAAAACTTTAAATAAATAAATTTTCAGGACATCTTTATTACTATTATTATTTTTAAAGAAGCCCAAGGTGCCACACAACCCACTGTGGGCCAATAGCGGCAGTGGAAACACAAATTAAGAAGTGAGGGTACGGGAGCTCTAGCAGAGCCCTCAAATGCAGCGGAGAGGAGAAAGGAATACCAAGCCGCTTCAAGGTGCACCGCGCCACCTCCACCCCTGCTTGGCACAGCATGGATGACGGGGAGACACGGAGGGCCTGAAACGCTCTTCTCAAAGGCGCAGGCTGCGAGCTGCACCCCGTCCTCCCTTCTGGCCCATAGGTCCTTCAGCAGTAGCAAGTGTCCCTGTGAGAGCACCTCAGGCGGAGTCCACAAGACCGTGGGTGCTCCCAGGCCTCACCGAAGCACCAGGCACAGAAAGCAGAGCCTCCTTCTGACACTGGGTCCACTTCCATTTCGGGGCAGACAACTGGGGTACAGCCAGAAACACAAGACACCATGAATACCAGCATGTTGCAGGTTAAAGCTGCTGCTGGCCGTTACTAGTCCTCATGAGTGGCATTTTCATTTTAGAATGGAGGAAAACTGCCAAACGCCAGGAAAATATTGAGAGATGGTTTCTTGAATGGGCCAACCAGCTCACGGCAGTCTTGGATGAGCCTGATTATCTGGCTCCATTCCAGTCAGAGTTCCAGCTGGGTTTTGGCATGGGAGCAGCTTTGGCCTCCTGTGCCAGGAGAGAGACAGGGGAAGTACAGCTCTACCTTCTCAGTGGTAGCCTCCCCCCAGGCCCTTGGTTTGGAATGATTTCCCTCTGAAGCCTGCCTGACCACCACATTGCCGTTTTTCTGGTGCTAGGTTAAGAGCACCCTCTACTCTCAGGAATGTAACACTATTTAATGGCATTTATGGGGGCATTTATATCTGCTGCCCTTTTGACTCCTCTGGTAGTTACTGAAATTGCTTTAGCTGTTTAAATTGTTTTTAAATTTTGTATACTGAAATTTTATGTTGTGTTTTATTATCCGTACTTGTGCTTTTGTAATTTTATGAATTGCTGTCAATTGTCCAGAGAGTGTAGGCTATTGGGTAGTATAGAAATGGAGTGAATAAATGACTGATAGGTGAGGGGAAGGGGTGGGAAACCCAGACGGCTAAATGGGGCCGTTTTGCCCCGGAGACCTGAGGTTTTCCACCTCAATCTGGCCTGCACACACATCCATCGCCACATAAATGATTCTCCAAATTCATTTTTGCTGTTTTCTATTGCTGCACATGTTTGAAAACCCAGAATGTGACACAGCCTAGCCAAGGAAGTTGATCTATTAGTGCTTGAAAGCATGCTTTCAACCACACAGAGACTAAAACTGGGAGGAGGCATGCAGAAATAAGCAGACCACGTGGCATAAAGTTGCTGGCATCAGCCGACAGACCTCAAGTAGCACATGAACAAGGAGAAGAAGCAGAGATGGATGCGACCTTGCTAATTAAGTTTAAAGGGGAGATGTAGTGTGAAAATCAGCAGGACTTTGGTGAGTCAGCAATGGGGACAAGCCTCAGCCATCTTGTGTAGGTCAATAAATGCCACAGTAAGTCAACCCTTTGATGTTGTCTCTGTCTAACAAAAGCATCTTCCATGAAAGCAGCCATGCTGTACAGAAACACAGACACACAGCAAGTGAGAAGGGGCCTCCCGGGCCATCTAGTCTGACCCCAGGCTCCAGCTGGCTCCACTCATGCATGTGCTTGTCCAATATTTCCTTGAACACCCTCCCCCTACAGCGTGAGTTAAGACCCAGTCCCCTGCATGCTTTCGTTTCAGATTCTTGTTCATTTCTGTGAAATTTCTCCAGATCTGTCAAATACGGACATCCTTCAAGGACCTACAATAGGCCATGCTGCAAATGCCCAACACTGCACTATATCCGTGCCTAGCACTGAATGATGGTGATGATAACGCTGTTTCTATTTCTATCCTGCCCCCTTCTCCTACGGCTTGCACAATCCTCCTCCTTTCCAGTCTTCCTCACAACAACCCTGTGAGGCAGGTCAAGCTGAAAGCCTGGCCCAAAGTCACCCAGTGTGCTTCGTGGTTGAGAGGAGACTAGTCCCAGATTGCCTGAATCCCTGTCTGAGACTTTAACCACTACCTCACACTGGCACTGGAAGCAGTACACTCCCGTCCCCAGTATGGCGATGGGATGGTCATTTCTCTCCTTTTATTCCTGCTGCTACAGGGAGACAAGAGAAAGGCCCCAGGGCTCTCACCCTTCTTTTAGCCTTCTTCCAACAAAGGGCAACACCGTAGAATCACAGGATAGTACAGCTGGAAGGGGCCCTGAAGGCCATCGGGTCCAACCCCCTGCTGCTGCAGGACACCACGTTACATCCTCCCTCTCAGAGGGCTGCTCAGTTTCACCTTGAATGTCTCCAGTGTGGGAGACATCAGCCCCACGCGCCTCTTTCCGGCTTACTGCCTGGGAGCTCACACACGTGCGAAAGAAATCACAGCCCACCTCACAGAAAAGGTGCTAACAGTGGCATCTCCTGAAAACACAGCAGCCCCTTCTCAGGGACTCTGCGTAGCGACAACACGCCCGTTTTTGTTATTGCTACTGCGTGTGCATCCAGCCCAGTAGCCAAAACCCTCAGGACAGTTCACAAAAATTAAAACCATAAAATACAACATGATAAAACATAAAATAAAACCTTTAAATGCTTGGATTAAGCTGCAGTAAAAACCAGAGTAAATACATAAAAACACAACAATACACAATAAAAACATGGGACAGGATGGGATGGGAAGGGTTGAGGGACCAAAAACCTGGAAAAAAGTCTTGACCTGATGCTAAGAAGGCTGTAACATAGGTGGCAGGTATGCCCAATGGGGGCCTTCCACAGCCTTGGTGCCACCACCAAAAAGACCCTTCTTAATGTATGTTCTTACGGTGCGTACACACATAACACTCTTAACTCAAAGGACTACAGGCATCCTATGCAGGGTGTGGGGAGCACAGGGACAGAGGTTGCCTCTGTGCTTCTCCTGCTCTGCAAAACAGCTAGAGAGCCACTTCTGGGTATCCACGGTGGCACTTTGGAGTGGGATGGTGGGAGACTGAGACATCACCAGGAGTAGTCATACATTGGCAGCACTGGTCTCCTCACTTTCCTGCTTCCCGGAGCCCTCCTAACTCCCTTCTCCTCTGTTACTCCTATGATTTATGAAATGTGGCCAGCTTGAGTCTTCCTGCACCAGCTATACTCTGCGCATGGAGTCCAAGCTTTGAGGTTGGAGCTGTTTTTGGCAGTTGGAACTAGGGCTCTGAAAACTCTTGTGCTCCTCTACACACTGTCTTAGGGATGCAGGATTGCTCTGTTAATTGTTTAAAATATTTACTGACTGCCTCTAAGGCATTCCTTAATGATGGTACGTGTATCTATGAACTCACCTAAGTCCCAGAAAAAGAAACATCTGTTCCTTATGCTGCAGCCAGAAATGCTTCTGCAAAATGCTGCTTTAAACTGCCTCCTCTAGTTGCCTTCATTCTTGATTCAAACCAACAAGGCTGAACCAACGAGACAAAAAGGTTCCTTTGCAAATATCCTGCCTTGGGCTGCAGTGCCATGTGCGCTTCCGTGGAGCTAAACCCTGCTGAACTCCATGCAGCTTGCTTCTGGACGTACGATCAGCCCGCACATCTTGGTGCTTTCCTTTCGATTCGGGTAGTTCAACAACTTCCCTACAGTTAGGGATGAGTGAATCAGACCATTTCGGATTTGTTGTTTTCATTTTGGCAGTCACAGGTTTGCTTCAGACCATTTCCACATTGGTTTGCAAATTCAACCAAATCTGTTTTAAAATGCCCACATGCAAGGCAGTGGTCCTTTCCATGCCCGTTTTGCAAGACACTTCCCCACCTCACCCCTTGCAAGAAATTTCTGATAGGGTCCATCATTTTCTTAAACCTGCATTTTGTAGATTGTCAGTTTTTCCTTCTGCTCATTAATTGACCTGTGGTTAAAATCCATTAAAAATTAATATTTTTTCTTCATTTAATTTTCCAAACTAGCATTAATGTACACTTTTAAATATGCACTTATAAAAAATGTGGAAATTCCCAGGTGCATTTTCATGCTTTAGCCTATGGGGGGATACCAACATTTTTCTATAATTAAACTTGTATAAAGTGCCAAAAGGTTAAAAAAAAAAAAAAAACTAGCCCGCAAGTCCACAGAATCTGTACGGCATGGGAAAAATGGTCTGTTTTCAAATCCATAGGTCAGATTCATAGTAATCTGAACCCATTTGATTTTCTTGTGGATTTCTCTGACTTTGATCTTTGTACATACTTTCGTCTAATATACATACCATTATGCACACTTTTCCTTAATCAATGCCTTTTTGCAGTTAGTTCTTAAGTTGTGAATTGCATCACAATATTCTAAATATGTGGATTTCAGCGCACAAGTGCATTCCGATGCATACATTAGTGTGAGAAATGCAAACTTGGCATGTTTGTATATATAAAAAATGAAACCATCTAATCTCTTACCTATCCAATCTGTCAGTTTCTTTACAAATTCCTTATTTCTCCCCACTTTGGTACATTAGGCAGTTGACCCCTAAGCAGAAACATTGGTTACAACCGCAGAGGCATTCCTGCAACTTTGTGGCAATGGTGTAATTTATAAATAAGCAAACTTTTATTTGGGATATTAAAAGACACGATGTAACACAACAGATCTGATCTGCTAATGGTAAGGCTCTGACTTCTCAATTTCATGCAGCCACCCGTGCACAAGAGGAACGCGAGGGCACCCCCCCCTCCC